CCTTTCTTTTCTCACTCCCTCCTTCCCTTCTTTCCTTTCTACCTCCCTCTTTTACCACATTCCTTTTCACTCCCTTCTTTTCTACCTCCCTCTTCCTTTTTCCCCTCCTTCCTTTCCTTTCTCCCGTTTATTCCCTTGCCTTTTCTCCCTCTCCTCCTCTTCCTTTTCTCACTCCCTCCTTCCCTTTCCTTTCCTTTCTACCTCCTTCTTTCATCTCATTCCTTTTCTACCTCCTTCTTTCATCTCATTCCTTTCTCCCTCCTCCCTTTTCTCCTTCCTTCCTTCTCTTCCCTTCCTTTCTCCCTCCCTCTTTTTTCACTCTCTCCTTCCCCTTTCCTTTCTACTTCCTTCCTTCCTTTCCTCTTTCCTCCCTTTTTCTCCCTCCCTTCTTCCTTTTCTCCCTTCCTTCCCTTTCTCCCTTTTATTCCCTTGCCTTTTCTCCCTCCCTCCTCTCTTTCTTTTCTCACTCCCTCCTTCCCTTTCCACCTCCCTCTTTCATCTCATTCCTTTTTACTCCCTTTTCTCCCTCCTTCCTTCTCTCTCTTTTCTCTTCCTTCCTTTCTCCCTTTCTTTTTTCCTCCCTCCTTCCCTTTTTTCTACCTCCTTCTTACATTCCTTTTCACTCCCTTCTTTTCTCCCTCCTTCTTCTTTCTCATTCCTTTCTTTTACTCCCTAGCCTTTTCTCCCTCCTTCTTCTTTCCTCCCTCCCCTCTTCCTCTTCTCACTCCCTCCTTCCCTTCCCTTTCTATCTCTTTACCTCATTCCTTTTCATTCCCTTTCTCCCCCTTCCTTCCCTTTCCTGTCTCTTTCTTAACTCCCTTCCTCTTGTCTTCTTTACCTCTCCCTTTTCCCATCTTTTTCTCCCTCCTTCCTTCTCTCATTCTCTCTTTTATGCCCCCTTTCGTCCGCCTTTCTTTCTTTCCTTTCTCCTGCCCTCCTTCCTCTCTTCCTTTTCTCCTCATTCTTTTACTCCCCTTTCTTTTCTCCCTTCCTTTTTTCTCTTTCCTTCCTTCCATTCTCTCTCCCTCCTCTCTTCATTTTCAGCCTCCCCCCTTTCCCTTTTCTTTCTTTCCTACCTCCTTTTTTAAACTAATTCCTTTTACTCCCTTCTTTTCTTCCTCCCTTCCACCCTTCCTTTTCTCCATCCTTTCTTCTCTTATTCTCTCCCTTTTATGTCCCTTTTCTCCCTTAGTCCCTTTCTTTCCTTTTTTTCTCCCGCCCTCCTTCCTCCCTTTTTCTCTTTCCTTCTCTCATTCTTTTACTCCCCTTCTTTCTTTTCTCCCTCCTTTTCTTTCCTCCTTCTCTTTTCTCTCTCCCTCCTTCCCTTTTCTTTCTTTTCTACTAATTCCTTTTACTCCCTTCTTTTCTTCCTCCCTCCTCCCTTCCTTTTCTCCCTCCTTTCTTCTCTTATTCTCTCCCTTTTATGTCCCTTTTCTCCCTTAGTCCCTTTCTTTCCTTTTTTTCTCCCGCCCTCCTTCCTCCCTTTTTCTCTTTCCTTCTCTCATTCTTTTACTCCCCTTCTTCCTTTTCTCCTTCCTTTCTTCTCTCATTCTCCCCCTTTTATGTCCCTTTTCTCCCTTAGTCCCTTTCTTTCCCTTTTTTTCTCCCGCCCTCCTTCCACCCTTTCTTTTTCTCCCTCCTTCTCTCATTCTTTTACTCCCCTTCTTCCTTTTCTCCCTCCTTTCTTCTCTCATTCTCCCCCTTTTATGTCCCTTTTCTCCCTTAGTCCCTTTCTTTCCCCTTTTTTCTCCCGCCCTCCTTCCTCCCTTTCTTTTTCTCTTTCCTTCTCTCATTCTTTTACTCCCCTTCTTTCTTTTCTCCCTCCTTTTCTTTCCTCCCTCACTCCCTTCTCTTTCTCTCTCCCTCCTTCCCTTTTCTTTCTTTTCTACTAATTCCTTTTACTCCCTTCTTTTCTTCCTCCCTCCTCCCTCCCTTTTCTCCCTCCTTTCTTTTCTCATTCTCTCCCTTTTATCTCCCTTTTCTCCCTTAGTCCCTTCCTTTCCTTTTTTCTCCTGCCCTCCTTCCTCCCTTTCTTTTTCTCATTCTTTTACTCCCCTTTTTCCTTTCCTCCCTCCCTCCCTCCCTCCTCTTTTCTCCCTCTCTCTTTCCCTTTTCCTTTCTCCTTCCTTCCCTCCTTTCCTTCTCTCCCTCCTTCCATTCCCCACCTTCTTTCCTTCCTCTTTCCTTCCTTCTCTCCTTCACCCAAAAGGAAAAGAGTAAATCAAGACAACGGGAAGAGACAGGGCAGTTTCCTCTTGCTTTATTTTACAATTTCTCATGAAAGGTATGTACAGCCACATGGATGTTATACTTCAATTGGTTGTTTATTGTCTTGGTGGATTTTGTGTTTTTCGCCTCCGTGCAGGACACACCGGCAGAAGTTGCATAAGTAGAAACCTTCCAAACGTTTTTTTTATGAAAAACCAAAAGTAAGAAAGAAAGCACTTAACTGAGACCCCTTCTGCCCAGCCAAGGATGGAAAATGTCAAAGCACACCCCAAAAAAGAAAAGAAAAAAGAGAAGAGAATATCATTTCTCAGGGAGGAGGGGGTCTCCGCGTGGAAGCCCCCTCCCCATTGACCTACTTCACCCTTTCCATTAACCCTGTATTGTCCAGCAGCAGCATTTGCACCGCAAAGGGCCCCTCGTGACCCATTGACGGCTATTGGGGGGACGGGGCGGGACCCCATTTTCCTGCCCAAAGGAGAGAGACCCCCTCCTGAAGGAAACCCTGAGCCAGTGGCCTCTTGAACCCTTTGCCCCCTTTTCTCCTTCCTCCAAAGACACCTGTCCCCCATCATTTGCCTCCTCCTTCTCCTCCTCCCCCTCCACCTCCTTCTCTTCCTCCTCCACCACCATCTCTTCCTCCTCCACCTCCTCTTCCTCCTATTCCACCTCCTCTTTGTCTTCCTCCACCTCCTCCTCCACCACCACCTCCTCTTCCACCTGCTCCTCCTCTTCCACCACCTCCTCCTCCACCACCTCCTCCACTTCCTCCACCTCCTCCTCCTCCACCACCACTTCCTCTTCCTCCTCCTTTTCTTCCTCCTTCTCCTCCTCCTCCACCATCTCCTCCTCCTCCTCTACCTCCTCCTCCAACACCTCCTCCTCCACCACCATCTCTTCCTCCTCCACCACCTCCTCCTCATCCACCTCATCCTCCACCATCTCCTCTTCCTCCTCCTCCACCACCTCAACCTCCTCCTCCTCCTCCTCCTCCTCCTCCACCACTTCCTCTTCCTCCTCCTTTTCTTCCTCCTTCTCCTCCTCCTCCACCATCTCCTCCTCCTCTACCTCCTCCTCCAACACCTCCTCCTCCACCACCTCCTCATTCCACCTCATCCTCCACCATCTCCTCTTCCTCCTCCTCCACCACCTCAACCTCCTCCTCCTCCTCCTCCTCCTCCACCACTTCCTCTTCCTCCTCCTTTTCTTCCTCCTTCTCCTCCTCCTCCACCATCTCCTCCTCCTCCTCTACCTCCTCCTCCAACACCTCCTCCTCCACCACCATCTCTTCCTCCTCCACCACCTCCTCCTCATCCACCTCATCCTCCACCATCTCCTCTTCCTCCTCCACCACCACCTCAACCTCCTCCTCCTCCTCCTCTTCCTCCTCCTCCTCCACCTTCCTCTTCCTCCTCTCTCCTCCTTCCTCCTCCTCCACCACCTCCTCCTCCTCCTCCTCCTCCTCCTCCACCACTTCCTCTTCCTCCTCCTTTTCTTCCTCCTTCTCCTCCTCCTCCACCATCTCCTCCTCCTCCTCTACCTCCTCCTCCAACACCTCCTCCTCCACCACCATCTCTTCCTCCTCCACCACCTCCTCCTCATCCACCTCATCCTCCACCATCTCCTCTTCCTCCTCCTCCACCACCTCAACCTCCTCCTCCTCCTCCTCCTCCACCACTTCCTCTTCCTCCTCCTTTTCTTCCTCCTTCTCCTCCTCCTCCACCATCTCCTCCTCCTCCTCTACCTCCTCCTCCAACACCTCCTCCTCCACCACCATCTCTTCCTCCTCCACCACCTCCTCCTCATCCACCTCATCCTCCACCATCTCCTCTTCCTCCTCCTCCACCACCTCAACCTCCTCCTCCTCCTCTTCCTCCTCCTCCTCCTCTTCCTCCTCCTCTTCCTCCACCTCCTCTTGCTCCTACCTTTCCTTTTTCCTTCCTTTCCCTTCCTTCCTTTCCCTTGCTTCCTTTCTCTTTCTTTCTTCTTTCCTTTTCTTTTTTCTTCCTTTCCCTTCCCTTCCTTCATTACTCTTCCTTCTTTTTCTTTCTTTTCTTTCTTCTTTCATTCCTTTCCTTTTTTTTCCTTCCTTTCCCTTCCTTCCTTTTTTCCCTTCCCTTCCTTTCTCTTCCTTTCCTTTCCTTTCTTCTTTCCTTCATTTCCTTTCCCTTCCTTCCTTCCTTCCTTCCTTTCCCTTCTTCCTTCCTTTCCCTTCCTTTCTTCTTTCCTTCTTTTTCCCTTCCTTTTATTCCTTCTTTTTTCCTCCACCACCTCCTCCTCCACTACCTGCTCCACCTCCTCCTCCTCCCATCACCTCTCCTGTACCACCACCACCTCCTCCACCACCACCACCTCCCCCTCCACCCTCCTCCTCCTCCTCCACCTTCTCCTCCTCTACCATCACCTCTCCTCCCCCTCCACCACCACCTCATCCTCCTCCACCACCACCTCCTCCTCCACTACCTGCTCCACCTCCTCCTCCTCTACCATCACCTCTTCCTCCCCCTCCACCACCACCTCCTCCTCCGCTGCTTGGGGACACCCCGGTCCCCATTCACTTCACAGGAAGAGGCCACCCACCTGCCCCTGCCGGCCATAAATGGGGAACCTGGGCTTCCTCTTGCCTCCGTAATGGGGCGCCCTTGGCAGTTTGGGGAAACAACGAGACCCCCCAATGGGGCCGAAGGTGGGCTGAGGGTGGGGGGGGGGATTCTACTTCACAGTGATAAATACATGAGAAGTTTTGGGGGCAAAACAAAGGTCCGCACCAAACATTTCCTTCTCTCTTATTTTCTGTTAAAGTTAGTATGCAAAAAATCATTTCAGCAATTTATAAAATTACAAACCCCTTTTTTTTTCCTCTGGAAGGAACTGCACCGGTTAAGTTATGGTAGAAAAAAAACTCCCCTCCCCCTTCTTCTTCACTTGGGGAGCGAAGGTTCAAATGGAGCTTGCATAAAATGGAGAGCCGTCCGGAACCGGACGACACGACCCCACAAAAAAGGAGGACGAACGGACGGACGGACGGACGGACGGAGGAAGGGGACGGAGGAAGGGGGACGACGCGACAAAAAAGCAACACTTCCGAACGGCGCCGAGAGGCCCGCTCGCTCGCTCGCCCGCTTCCGCCGCCGCCGGCCGTTTTGGCACTTTGTTTGAGACAACAGACTCGTTTTTCGCGGACCCTCCCGAAAAAGGCCGCGAGAAAAGAGAGCGCTTTTTTTACGTTTCCGGCAAAACACAAGAGACAGAGCAAGGTAAACATTCCCACAGCGGACTGGCACACGCATGCATGGGTCGGACGGGCGGGCGGACGGACCGAGGGAGGCCCCTCTCCTCTCAGGCGGTGTCTTCCGGGGACCGCGTCTCCGTCTTGAGCCGGACGAACTCCTTGGCCACGTCGTCGTGGGTCCTCTGGGAGAGGATGCGCAGGATGGTCAGCCCCGTCTCGTCTGTGCGCAGGCTCCGGCGCAAAGGGTGCCAGGCCGCGATGGGGCCCCTGTCGGCCGCCAGGCTGCGCAGCTGGAAGACCGACATGCCGATGACGCGGTCCTCGCGGGCGAAGCAGTAGTCCTTCACCACCAGGTGCACCTCGTAGGACCCCGGGCGCTCCTCCTTGCCCACCACGCTGGAGGGAGGGAGAAAGGAGAAGGACACACAATGGGTGGTTAGGGGTCTTGTGTCCAAATTTGGTGTCAATTCATCCAGTGGTTTTTGAGTTCTGTTAATTCCACAAACGAACATGACATTTTTATGTATATAGACTAGCTGTACCCGCCATGCGTTGCTGTGGCCAACCTTGCATCCCTCTTTCTCTCCTTCTTTCTTTCTCTCCTTCCTTCCTCCCTCTTTTTCTTTCCCTTCTTCTCTTCCTTCACTACCTGTTTCTTTTCCTCGCTTCCTCCCTCTGTTCCATCTTCCTTTCTCCTTCCTTCCTTCTTCCTCCCTTCCTTTCCTTCCTTCCTTCCTTCCCTCCTTCTTTCCCTCCTTCTCTCCTTCCTTCCTTCTCTACCCTCCTGTCTTTCCTTCTTCATCTCCTTCCCTCCTTCTTTCCCTCCTTCTCTCCTTCCTTCCTTCTCTACCCTCCTGTCTTTCCTTCTTCATCTCCTTCCCTCCTTCTTTCCCTCCTTCTCTCCTTCCTTCCTTCTCTACCCTCCTGTCTTTCCTTCTTCATCTCCTTCCCTCCTTCTTTCCCTCCTTCTCTCCTTCCTTCCTTCTCTACCCTCCTGTCTTTCCTTCTTCATCTCCTTCCCTCCTTCTTTCCCTCCTTCTCTCCTTCCTTCCTTCTCTACCCTCCTGTCTTTCCTTCTTCATCTCCTTCCCTCCTTCTTTCCCTCCTTCTCTCCTCCCTTCCTTCTCTACCCTTCTTTCATAGAATCCTGGAATCCTAGAGTTGGAAGAGACCTCCTTCTCTCCTCCCTTCCTTCTCTACCCTCCTGTCTTTCCTTCTTCATCTCCTTCCCTCCTTCTTTCCCTCCTTCTCTCCTTCCTTCCTTCTCTACCCTCCTGTCTTTCCTTCTTCATCTCCTTCCCTCCTTCTTTCCCTCCTTCTCTCCTTCCTTCCTTCTCTACCCTCCTGTCTTTCCTTCTTCATCTCCTTCCCTCCTTCTTTCCCTCCTTCTCTCCTCCCTTCCTTCTCTACCCTTCTTTCATAGAATCCTGGAATCCTAGAGTTGGAAGAGACCTCCTGGGCCCTCATCCAATCCAACCCCATTCTGCCATAGAAGCAGGAATATTGCATTCAAAGCACCCCTGACAGATGGCCATCCAGCCTCTGTTTAAAAGCTTCCAAAGAAGGAGCCTCCACCACACTCCGGGGCAGAGAGTTCCACTGCTGAACGCTCTCACAGTCCGGAAGTTCTTCCTCATGTTCAGATGGAATCTCCTCTCTTGTAGTTTGAAGCCATTGTTCTTGCGTCCTAGTCTCCAGGGAAGCCGAAAACAAGCTTGCTCCCTCCTCCTCCCTGTGGCTTCCTCTCACATATTTATACATGGCTATCATATCTCCTCTCAGCCTTCTCTTCTTCAGGCTAAACATGCCCAGTTCCTTCCTTCCTGTCTTCTCTTCTTCCTTCCTTCTCTACCTCTTTCCTTCCTTCCCCGAACATGACATTTTTATTTATATAGATTACTAGCTGTCCGCGCCACGCCTTGCTGTGTCCAACCTTCCCTCCCTCTTTCTCTCCTTCTTTCCTTCCCTCTTTTTCTTTCCCTTCTTCTTTCTTCCTTCTCTACCTGTTTCTTTTCTCGCTTCCTTTGCCCTTTGGTTCCATCCTGCCTTGTCTCTTTCCTTCCTTCCTTCCTTCCTTCCCTCCCTCTTTCTCTCCTTCGTTCCCTCTTTCACTTTTTTATTTCATTCTCTCCCTCCTTTTCTCCTTCCTTCTTTCTCTACCCTTCTGTCTTTCCTTCTTTATCTCCTTCCCTCCTTCTCTACCCTTCTTTTTTTCCTTCCTTCTCTCCTTCCCTCTTTATCTCCCTCCTTCTCTCCTTCCTTCCTTCTCTACCCTTCTTTCTTTCCTTCCTTCTCTCCTTCCCTCCTTCTTTCTCTCCTCCCCTCCTTCTCTACCCTTCTTTCTTTCCTTTCTTCTCTCCTTCCCTTTCTCTCCCTCCTTCTCTCCTCCCTTCTCTATCTTTCTTTCTTTCCTTCCTTCTCTCCTTCCCTCTTTCTCTCCCTACTTCTCTCCTCCTTTCCTTCTCTACCCTTCTTTCTTTCCTTCCTTCTCTACTTCCCTTTCTCTCCCTCCTTCTCTCCTCCCTTCCTTCTCTACCCTTCTTTTTTCCTTCCTTCTCTCCTTCCCTCCTACTTTCCCTTCTTCTCTCCCTCTTTCTCTCCCTTCTTCCTTCTCGTTCCTTCTTCCTTCCCTCTTTCACTTTTTTATTTCATTCTCTCCCTCCTTCTCTCCTTCCTTCCTTCTCTACCCTTCTGTCTTTCCTTCTTTATCTCCTTCCCTCTTTCTCTCCCTTCTTCTCTCCTCCCTTCCTTCTCTACCCTTCTTTTTTCCTTCCTTCTCTCCTTCCCTCCTCCTTTCCCTTCTTCTCTCTCTCTTTCTCTTCCTCTTTCTCTCCTTCCTTCCTTCTCTACCTTTCTTTCTTCCCTTCTTTCTCTCCTTCCCTCCTTCTTTCCCTTCTTCTCTCCCTCCTTTCTTCTCTACCCTTCTTTCTTTCCTTCCTGCTCTCCTTCCATCCCTCCTTCTCTCCCTTCCTTTGTCCTTTCTGTGAATGTGTTTTGTGTGTGTATATGCATATATGTGTGTTTGTGTATATATATGTGGTTTTGCGCATGCGTTGTAATGTTGTTCTTTTAAGTCCTTTCTGCTGTGTTTTTCAGTGTTTTTATGAGTGAAGGACGTATATTGGCCTGTTAGGTGCCTTGTGTCCAAATTTGGTGTCAATTCCCCCAGTGGTTTTTGAGTTCTGTGAATCCCACAAACGAACATGACATTTTTATTTACATAGTGTGTGTGCTCCTACTCACAACTGGAAGGTCTCGTTGTACTTGGGCGACCAGGTGTTGCTCTTGGTCTTGGTGCCGTGCCTCCGCCGCTTGTCGCTGAGGCTGGGGCCCAGAAGGAAGACCTCCACGAAGGGGCGGAACATGTTGCTCGTCTGCCACTGGAGCTTGTTGATGGCGATCACTGGACACAACAGCGACAGACAGAGTGAGGACCCTGGGCGCCAAGGCTCTGAGCCCAGGCGGACTGACCGAGGACCCAGAGGCGGCCCTAGGTAATTTTCAAAGGTAAGCAAACAGTATTTTGACACGCCCCCCCCCAACCAATCATTGATATATATTTTCTGTTCGTCGTGGGAGTTCTGTGTGCCATATTTGGTTCAATTCCATCATTGGTGGAGTTCAGAATGCTCTTTGATTGTAGGTGAACTATACATCCCAGTAACTACACTTGCCGCACTTGCTCCCTTGCCTGGCCCGCTTTGGTCCGGAGGCGTGCCTGAAGACCCCGGCGTGTGCACCAAAAGTCACCTCTTCTCCTGACTTTCTCCTCAGCCATTGGGACCAGAGAGAGAGAGAGAGAGAGAGAGAGAGAGGTGGAGATGCCCACCTTTCCTGAAGGTAGGCGCAAAAACAAAGGAGGGAGCGGAGGTGGGAGATACCTCCAGCCGGAGGGGCTCTCTCTCTCTCTCTCTCTCTCTCTCTTTCTTGGTCCCAATGGCTGAAGAGAAAGTCAGGAGAAGAGGAGACTTTTGGTGCGCACGCTGGGATCTTCTGACACACCTCCAGAGAGAAAGAAAGAGAGAGGTGGAGAGGCCCATCTTTCCTGAAGGTAGGCGCAAAAACAAAGGAGGGAGCGGAGGTGGGAGATACCTCCAGCCGGAGGGGCTCTCTCTCTCTCTCTCTCTCTCTCTCTCTTGGTCCCAATGGCTGAAGAGAAAGTCAGGAGAAGAGGTGACTTTTGGTGCGCACGCTGGGGTCTTCAGACACGCCTCTGGACCCAAGAGAGAGGTGGAGATGCCCACCTTTCCTGAAGGTAGGCGCAAAAACAAAGGAGGGAGCGGAGGTGGGAGATACCTCCAGCCGGAGGGGCTCTCTCTCTCTCTCTCTCTCTCTTGGTCCCAATGGCTGAAGAGAAAGTCAGGAGAAGAGGCGACTTTTGGTGCGCATGCTGGGGTCTTCAGGCATGCTTCTGTGGCGGTTCCGCCCCTTGGCCCACCCGCGGATTGGGGAGAGGAGGCAGGTGGAGTGCCGGGGGATTGGGAAAGGGAGCCGGTCACGGGGAAGGGATCGAACACGGAGAACGATTGAGTGCCGGCTCTGCTCGCACCCCAGGTGGCCGGGTGGAGCAGGAACGAGAGGGGTGAGGCTCGGCTCAAGGGCCTGGCCCCTTTGGGAAGAGGATCGCCCGGCAGCGAGGCAAGAAAGCCGAGGCTCCCCCCGGACTGCTAGGGCTGTTGTGAGCTGAGGGGGCGCTCCTCAAGTGGTGGTTGAGGGGCATTTACAGAGGCACCTCTGCGCCCTTGGCAAACAAAAAGTGTTTTGCGACCGCTTACTTCGCGTAATGGAAGAGCCGCCCCTGTGAGGACCCCTTTGCTTTGTGAGAGAGAGACACACCTTTGACCGTCACTTTGTGCTCCCCGCTCCCTGGCTGTGGAGTGACCTCCACCTGGACGTTGATCTCCCCCACGGGCTTCTCTGTCCCTTGACCTGCAATGAAAGGGAACACTGATTACACAAGTGCAACGGGTGAAAACAAAAGCAGCATGCCAGCCAAGGTGGGGCAAGGCCAACCTCGGTCTGGCCAGAGAGACTTCTGTTGGCCTCCATCTGCATCTATCTCAGTGATTCCCAACTTTCCTAATGCCATGACCTCTTAATACAGTTCCTCCTGTTGTGCTGACCCCCAACTATCACATTATTTTCGTTGCTACTTCATAACTGGAATTTTGCTCCTGTTATGAATCGTAATGCAAATATGTGCATTTTCATTCACAGGACTAAATTTGGCACAGATACCCGATACGGCCAAATTTGAATACTGGTGGGGTGGGGTTGGGGGGTTGGGGTTGATTTTGTCATTTGGGAGATGTAATTGCTGGGATTTATAGTTCACCTGCAATCAAAGAGCATTGTGAACTCCACCAGCGACGGAATTGGGCCAAACTTCCCACACATAACTATGCCAGCATTTCTCAACCTGGGGGTCGCGACCCCTGGAGGGCTTGCGCGGGAGTGTCAGAGGGGTTGCCAAAGACCATCAGAAAACACAGTATTTTCTGTTGGACATGGGGATTCTGTGTGGAAGTTTGTCCCAATTCTATCATTGGTGAGGTTCAGAATGCTCTTTGATTGTAGGTGAACTATAAATCCCATCAATGACAACTCCCAAATGTCAATGTCCATTTTCCCCAAATTTCACCAGTGTTCAAATTTGGGCATATTGAGTATTCATGCCAAGTTTGGTCCAGATCCATCATTGTTTGATTCTAGAGTGCTCTCTGGATGTAGGTGAACTACAACTCCAAAACTCAAGGTCAGTACCCACCAAACTTTTCTAGTATTTTCTGTTGGTCATGGGAGTTCTGTGTGCCAAGTTTGGTCCAATTGCAGCATTATTTTTTTAACTTAATTACATTTGGTCCAGCCATAGATTTTAAATGTGTGTTGTATTACTGTCATTTTTTATTGCTTTTCTGTTTATGAGTTTTATTTAATTGTTTTATTGTTGTTGTTATTGCTTGTATTGATGTATTTAGGCTCGGCCTCTTGTAAGCCGCACCGAGTCCCTTTGGGAGATGTTAGCGGGGTACAAATAAATTATTATTATTATTATTATTATTATTATTATTATTATTATTATTATTATGATGTTCTGCACAGGCTTCATTCCATGCACGGCTTTCAAACTGATAGGCCCAAATCCATTGTCAGCGGCTGCTTTCCGAAAGCCTATCTTTGGGGAGCCTTAATCCGTCTTTTCGAAGCAGCGCGATTAAGCGAGCGCCAAAAAGCTTTCCTTTTCAATCATGCCTCCCCCCCAGACAGACATCTGTGTATGCGTATGCATATGTGTATGTATGTATGTATGGGCCAGAGTGAAGAGAGAGGAGGACAGGGGACAGTTCCATCTTGTCTCCAGTACTATGCTAATAATATAACATAATATATCGTATATGCATATAATACGGCCTGTTTCCAATCTCCCCTTTTTGGGCAAAGTCCTGGAAAGCGTGGTGGCCTCACAACTCCAGGTATTCCTGAGAGACACGGATTATCTGGATTCGGCACAGTCTGGTTTCAGACCGGGACATGGAACTGAGACGGTCTTGGTCGCCTTAGTGGATGATCTGCGCCGGGAGCTCGACAGGGGGAGTGTGTCCCTGTTGGTGCTCCTGGACCTCTCAGCGGCCTTCGATACCGTCGACCACGGTATCCTTCTGGGGCGCCTTGCGGAAATGGGCCTCGGAGGCACTGTTTTGCAGTGGCTCCGGTCATTTCTGGAGGGTCGCACCCAGAAGGTGTTATTGGGGGACACCTGTTCAACACCACAGCCTTTGACCTGTGGGGTTCCACAGGGCTCTATACTGTCCCCCATGCTGTTTAACATCTACATGAAGCCGCTGGGGGAGATCATCCGGAGTTTCGGTGCGGTGTCATCTGTACGCAGATGATGGCCACTCTGTCACTCCTTCCCACCTGCTACTGAAGGAGGCTGTCAGGTCCTGAACCGGTGCCTGGCCGCTGTAATGGTCTGGAAGAGGGCGAACAAACTGAAATAAATCCAGACAAGACAGAGGTACTCCTGGTCAGTCGCAAGGCCGAACAGGGTATAGGGTTACAGCCTGTGCTGGACGGGGTCGCACTCCCCTTGAAGGCGCAGGTTCGCAGCTTGGGTGTGACCCTGGATTCATCATTGAGCCTGGATCCCCAGGTTTCAGCGGTGACCAGGGGAGCATTTGCACAGCTTAGGCTCGTGCGCCAGCTGCGCCCGTACCTTGGGAAGTCTGACTTGGCCACGGTGGTACACGCTCTGGTCACATCCCGCCTTGACTACTGCAACGCTCTCTACGTGGGGCTGCCCTTGAAGACGGCCCGGAAGCTTCAGCTAGTTCAGCGTGCGGCAGCCATGTTACTAACAGGAGCGGGACGCAGGGAGCATACAACGCCCTTGTTGTCCAGCTCCACTGGCTGCCGATCTGCTACCGGGCCCAATTTAAGGTGCTGGTGTTGGCCTACAAAGCCCTAAACGGTTCCGGCCCAAAATACCTGTCTGACCGCATCTCGGCCTATGAGCCCACGAGGGCCTTGAGATCATCTGGGGAGGCCCTTCTCTCGATCCCGCCTGCCTCACAGGCACGTCTGGCGGGGACAAGAGAGAGGGCCTTCTCAGTGGTGGCCCCCCGGCTGTGGAACACCCTCCCTGTTGACATCAGACAGGCGCCCTCCCTTATGGCTTTCGTAAGAGCCTAAAGACCTGGCTATTCGAGAAGGCATTTAATTGAGAGCCACACGAATCTGGTAATGACATTGGAACGGACTATGGATTATGAGATTGGCTATGATTCCATGTTGTGATGGCGCGGATTTATTAGTGTGATTTAGATTAATGTGTAATTTGGTTGTTGATATATTGTATGTTTTGTAGACTGTTTTTACATGTTGTACACCGCCGCGAGTCGCCCCAGGGCTGAGAGCGGCGGTCAACAAATGCAGTAAATAAATAAATAAATAAATAAAATATGGTCACATCCCGCCTTGACTACTGCAACGCTCTCTACGTGGGGCTGCCCTTGAAGACGGCCCGGAAGCTTCAGCTAGTCCAGCGCGCGGCAGCCATGTTACTAACAGGAGCGGGACGCAGGGAGCACACAACGCCCTTGTTGTTCCAGCTCCACTGGCTGCCGATCTGCTACCGGGCCCAATTTAAGGTGCTGGTGTTGGCCTACAAAGCCCTAAACGGTTCCGGCCCAAAATACCTTTCTGACCGCATCTCAGCCTATGAGCCCACGAGGGCCTTGAGATTGTCCGGGGAGGCCCTTCTCTCGATCCCGCCTGCCTCACAGGCACGTCTGGCGGGGACGAGGGATAGGGCCTTCTCGGTGGTGGCCCCCCGGCTGTGGAACACCCTCCCTGTAGACATCAGACAGGCGCCCTCCCTTATGACATTCCGCAAGAGCCTAAAGACATGGTTGTTTGAGAAGGCGTTTGACTAAGTGCTTCAACAATTGGCAATGACGACTGGAACGGAATATGGATTACGAGATTGGTTTATGATTCTACGATGACACGGCGCGGATGATTTAGTGTAATTATATGATTGTTGTATTATTGATAGTTATGCTGATATGTTGTTGTGCTATTGCTTTATTGTAAATTGTGTTTTTATATGTTGTACACCGCCGTGAGTCGCCCTAGGGCTGAGAACGGCGGTTAACAAATGCAGTAAATAAATAAATAAAATAAATAAATGCAATATAATACTACTAATAATATGATATTATAATTATATATTTATATTATGTATAACTAATGTTACAATATAATGGTATAGTACAATATAGTAATATATAATACTGATATTGTACTATGCTAATAATATAATATATTGTGTGTGTATATATATATATATCTTTATATATATATGTGTGTATATATATATATACATATATAAGATATATATCTTATTTAAATGTTGTAAATAAATTATATATATATTATATATATATTATAATAAATTATATCTATATATTATAAAATTATATATATATATATAATTAAAATATATAATTTTTATTATTATATTTATTATATAATTTTTTATATATATAATATAATATAATATGTAATATATAATAAAAATAAAAATGTAATGTTGGTTTGTGGGATTAACATAACTCAAAAACCACTGGGGGAATTGACACCAAATTTGGACACTATACCCCTAACAAACCAATGTATGTCCTTCACTCATAAACACACTGAAAAACACAGCAGAAGGGACTTAAAAAGCCCCCAAAAGCTAAATGACAAAAAGGTAAACGATAATACAGAAAAAAAGGGAAGAAAGAGGGAGGGAAGGGAAGAACAAAAAGAAAGAAAGAAAGAAAGAAAGAAAGAGGGAGGGAGGGAAAGAAAGAAGGAAAGGGATAAGGAAGCATGGAAGCAAAGAGAGAAGGAAGGAAGGAAGGAAAGAGGTAGAGAAGGAAGAAAGGAGAGAAAGAGGGAGGAGAAAAAGGGGAAAGGAAACTTAGAGAAGGAAGGAAGGAGAGAAAAAAAGAAAAAAGGGAAAGAAGGAAGGAAAGAGGGAGCGAAGGAAGGGGGGAAGATGTAGAGAAAGAGGGAGGGAAGGAAAGAAGGAAGGAGAGAAGGAAGAAAAGAGAAACAGCAGAAGAGAAAGAAAAAGGGGAAGGAAGGAAAGAGAGAAAGAAGGAAGAAGAGAAGGAAAGACGGGAAGGAAGGAATGAAGGAAAGAGGGAGTGAAGGAAGGAGGGAAAGAGAGAAGGTTGGTCACAGCAACGTGTGGCGGGTACAGCTAGTATATATGTATATGAAACATGGGAGGGCACTGCAACTGGGGTGAGAGGGCCCGACGTCTCGGTCTCTTTTGCTGCGGACTCACTTTGTGCCGCCTGGGTGTCAATGAACTTGGTGATCAGGACGTCCGTGGTCTGCGTGTAGAGGTTCAGGGCGTACTTGAGCGACTGCATGTCGGGGCTCTTCTCCAGGAAGGTCTTCTTCAGGCCGCTCCCTCCGGCATGGAAGTATTGCTGGGAGGGGAAGAGAGGCACAGTGGAGGCCACCTAAACATGTGGTGTGCCCAAAGGGGTCAGTGGCCCTCTCCTCCCCTCTCCCTCCATGCCAAGGGGGGCACTTCCTCTGTAGGGCCACCCCCTGCCCCCCCACCCATCCACCTACCCACCCACCCGTCCACCTACCCACCCACCCATCCACTTACCCCCCTACCCACCCAACTACCCACCCACCCACCCATCCACCTTCCCACCCACCCATCCACTTACCCCCTACCCACCTACCTACCTACCCACCCATCCACTTACCCCCCCACCCGTCCACCTAACCACCCACCCATCCACCTACCCACCCACCCGCCACCTACCCACCCACCCGTCCACCTACCCACCCACCCCCTGCCCCCCCACCCATCCACCTACCCACCCACCCGTCCACCTACCCACCCACCCATCCACTTACCCCCCTACCCACCCAACTACCCACCCACCCACCCATCCACCTTCCCACCCACCCATCCACTTACCCCCTACCCACCTACCTACCTACCCACCCATCCACTTACCCCCCCACCCACCCACCTAACCACCCACCCATCCACCTACCCACCCACCTATCTACCTACCCACCCACCTCCCTCTCTCTCACCCACCCATCCACCTACCCACCCACCCGTCCACCTACCCCCCACCCATCCACCTACCCACCCACCCGTCCACCTACCCACCCACCCGTCCACCTACCCACCCACCCATCCACCTACCCCCAACCCCACCCACTACCCACCCACCCACCCATCCACCTTCCCACCCACCCATCCCCCACCCCCCCCCACCCCACCTACTCACCCATCCACCTACCCACCCACCAGTCCACCTACCCACCCACCTGTCCACTTGCCCCCCCACCCATCCACCTACCCACCCACCCGTCCCCACCCACCCATCCACCTACCCACCCACCCATCCACTTACCCCCCCTACCCACCCCCACTGCTTTTGCAAATAAAAAAAAAAAGACTAAAAAAAAAAAAAAAATAAAAATAAAAAAACCCCACCCCCCCCCCACCCATCCACCTACCCACCCACCCGCCCACCTACCCACCCACCCACCCACCTACCCACCCATCCACCTACTCACCCATCCACCTACCCACCCACCAGTCCACCTACCCACCCACCTGTCCACTAACCCACCCATCCACCCATCCATCTACCCACCCACAAATCCACTTACCCACCCACCCGTCCTCTGCAGGACAACAAAGCCACGGTTCCTGCAGCCGCCCGCTTGGTTCTTCCTTCCCAACTGGAAGGACAGTTTAATTAGCTGACAATTATTCAATCAAAACGCGTAATTAGACACGTCTCTTCCAGATAGGAGAACAGCTTGGCAACGGAAACGCGGCCTGAGGGAACCGTGAAATTTCCTGCTGCAGATGCTTTTGAGGAAATCGGGTGGCATCCGAATGCATCATAAACACAAGGGCGAGCTTTCCCCCTTCGAGACCTCATGCGCAGATCGAACGGTCCCAATAAAAGTGTGGCAGCAAGGGCTCTCTTTCCAGCGACCCCACTGACTGACCTCGCCTCAATGCCACGTGAAAGCGCCAGCGCATACCTTAATGGTGGCCAGGACCACGTCCATGACGGCGCACTGCCTCAGTGTCAGGCTCTTGGTGTCTTCCCGGATGACGTGGTCCTGCAAGGGGAAGGGGAGAAGGGGGATACAGTACCAAAGTGGGGCCAAATCCCTTGCCTACTGCCTGCTCCTTGGTCGCTTCTGCCTGCTGGGAAATCAGGATGCGCTCACCCCGCAAACCCGAAGCAATCCCATTTTACCCACCATTAATACAAAATGCTCCTGCTACAAAACAGGAGCTTTTTTGTTGAGTTCCAGGCCAGAGAAGCATGGATGGAAAGAAAAGAAAGGAAAGGAAGGAAGGAAGGAGAAAAGAGAGAAGGAGGAAAGCGAGGGAGGAAAGAGAGAAAGAAAGAAAGAAAGAAAGAAAGAAAGAAAGAAAGAGAAACAAAAGGGAAGGAAGGAAGGAGAAAGAGGGAGAGAGGGAAGCAGGGAGGGAGAAGGAGCGAGTTAAAGAAGGGAAGGAGGACGGAAAGAGAGAAGGAAGGAAGGAAGGATAGGATGGTGAAAGGGAGAAAAGAGCCCGCCACGTCCCCTCCTCCTTACCTTCAGCTTGGAGAGCTGGCCAAAGTCTTTGGCTGCGCTGAGAAGCATTGGGGGGCCCTGAGGAAAGAGAGAGAGAGCGAGAGGCTGGTTGAGAGAAGGAACCACAATTAGCTGCAAGCAGGCAGAGGATAGGATCCATCTTCCTTAATTTGGGGGGGGGGGGGAGAAGGAGCTGGCTTCCCTTTGCCTGCGGCTGGATGTGGGAGGAGGGTCACTTGAGGGTAGTGAGCCTCAAGGGAAAAGCCACTCAGCAAAGAGAGCCCCTCAATCTGGAATGCACAAACGTGCCACGTGTTTGCATTGCTAAGACTGCAGCTATCACTTCCAGGCGTCAAAAGCATGCGTACGTTTCACCTGAAATACACTTTGCATCCTTTTCTCTCCCCTGAATGCAGTCTGCAAAAGGTGTGGCAGCCCTTTCCCTCTTCCACCCAACAGACAACCAGCCTATCTGTTGTTGAAAGCTTTCATGGTTGGAATGACTGGGTTGCTGTGAGTTTTCCAGGATGTCTGGCCATGTTCCAGAGGCATTTTGTCCTGACGTTTTCAACAACTTCTATGGCAGGCATTCTCAGAGGTTGTGAGGTCTGTTGGAAACTAGACAAGTGGGGTTTATGTATATACTAGCTTGGGGACCCGGCGCTGCCCGGGTTGTTTGAGAAAGGAATTGTGTATCAAGTTTGGTCTTTATCAGTTATTTATATGGCTTGCAGTGGTCTCAGGAAGTTAGTGAAGGTACTGCGAGTCCCATTATCTGTGGTCCATCCTCCTCCAAACAGCATTGGGATGTAGAGTGAGTCAAGGGGGCTCTGTGTGCCAAGTTTGGTCTTGATCGGTCTTTGTTGGGGGCCACAGTGGTCTGTGGGAACCGAAGAGTTGGAAAATACTACAAATCCCATCATCCATTGTCCAGCCTCCCCCAAACCTCGTGGGCACATAAAGAGGGTCATGAGGTTTTATGTTTGCCAAGTTTGGTCTAGATCAGTCATTGGATGAGGATCACAGCAGTTTCAGCAAGCGAGTGGGGGTATTTCAAGTCCCATCATCCATGGTCCTCCAGTAGGACGTAGAGTGGGTCATGGGGGCTCTGTGTGCCAAGTTTGGTCTTTATCAGTCTTTGTTGGGGACCACAGTGGTCTGTGGGAACCAAAGGGTTTGAAAGTACTACAAATGCCATCATCCGTTGTCTGTCCACTCCCAAACCGCACCACGACATAAAATGCATCATGGGGGTTATGTGTGCTAAGTTTGGTCCAGGTCTGTCGCTCGTGCAAGTCTCTGTGGCCTGTGAAAGTGAGAGCCAATCAGAAAGCTGCCACATACAGTTCCGCCCTCCGCATACATACATACATACATACATACATACATACAAACATTGACTTTTATTATATAGATATAGATATCTGTGGAATGATGTCCAGGGTGGGAGAAAGAACTCTTGTCTGTTGGAGGCAGGTGTGAATGTTGCCATTGGCAACCTTGATTAGCACTGAATGGCCTTGCAGCTTCAAAGCCTGGCTGCTTCCTGCCGGGGAGAATCCTTTATTGGGAGATGTTAGCTGGCCCTGATTGATTCTTGTCTGGAATTCCCGCTTTTTGAGTGTTGCTCTTTATATACTGTCCTGATTTTAGAGGATTTTTTAAAAATACTGGCAGCCAGATTTTGTTCATTTTCATGGTTTCCTCCTTTCTGTTGAAATTGTCCACATACTTGTGGATATTATTGGAGAACACAGAAACACTGGACCACTCTCACAACCGCCACGTCAGACTACACAGAGAAGCCACTGAAATCCACAAGAAGCATGTGGACAATTTCAACAGAAAGGAGGAAACCATGAAAATGAACAAAATCTGGCTACCAGTATTAAAAAACTCTAAAATTATAACAGCAAAACAACAGAGAGGAAAAAACCAGGCACAGATTAACACCTCTCAACAAAGATTTTCCCAGGCTCAGGCAGGCCTTCAAATGCTAATGAAGGTGGTCAGTTGAAACATTCACACCCAGCTCCAGCAGAGAAGAGCTCTTTGCCCCACTCCAGTCATTCCACAGATATATAAACCCATTTTCCTAATTCCAACAGACCTCAACCTCTGAGGATGCTTGCCATAGATGCAGGCGAAACGTCAGGAGAAATGCCTCTAGAACATGGCCCTATAGCCAAAAAAACCCACAAGAACCTACTCATAGTCCATCATTCATCGTCATCTATCCGATCACAGAAATATTGATTCACTCGTCGAAAGCCAAACCCCATAGCCATGTTTTCACCCGTTTTCTGAATGACAGAATGGAGGGGGCAGTTCTGATCTCCAGTGGGAGAGAGTTCCAGAGTCGAGGGGCCACCACCGAGAAGGCCCTGTCCCTCGTCCCCACCAGACGCGCCTGAGAGGCCGGTGGGACCGAGAGCAGGGCCCCTCCAGATGATCTTAACTCAACCTCTGAGGATGCCTGCCACAGATGTGGGCGAAAGGTCAGGAGAGAATGCTTCCTGAACATGGCCAGACAGCCCGTAAAACTCACAGCAACCCAACGAGCCAATCTTTGGGGCTCTTCTGGCCAAGGGGTTTCCCCCCATTTAGGTCCTGCTTACGGTTTGGTCGGTCAACGGCGGGAGGACGATCTGCTTCTCGATGGTGTTCAGCACCAGCTTCCAGAGCTCCTTCAAGACCCGCTTCAGCACCGTCTTCTCGCAAATTTTGGCCGAGGCGCTCAACCTGCAGGAAGGAAGGGAGACGGCATAGGAATAAAAAGGGAGCCAAGGAGGGGGCTGCACCCTGCATTCTCGGTATCGCCGACCCACAACACCACTCTGCCCCCCGTACGTTTTGTCGAGGAAGTCCATCAGCGGGCGCAGGACGATCTCCGCTTCCACCACGCAGTTGCCTTTGCTGTTGTCCCCCTTCAGCTGGTTCAGCTCGGCCGCCATCTGCCTTACGCACTCCCCAACCACCGGCTGGAAACTGGGGAAATCACAGAACGCTAGAATTGGGAGAGACCTCCAGGGCCCACCTAGCCCAACCCCTTAGAATCATAGAATCAAAGAGTTGGAAGAGACCTCCTGGGCCATCCAGTCCAACCCCTTCCAGCCTTCCTTCGTGCAGGATCCTGGCTGAAAAACACACTGCCCAAAGAAGTCCTAGCCGTCAAGGTGGGTCAGAGTCCGGTCTGTTACCCAGCTTTGCCGAAGGGCTTAGAACAGGCATGGGCAAACTTTGGCCCTCCAAGTGATTTGGACTTCAACTCCCACAAAGAAGTGACAAGTGGAGAGCCACAGGGTTCCGTCCTGGGCCCGGTCCTGTTCAACATCTTTATTAATGACTTAGATCACCGTTTCTCAACCTGGGGGTCGGGACCCCTGTGGGGGTTGCGAAGGGATGTCAGAGGGGTCGCCAAAGACCACCAGAAAACACAATATTTTGTCTTGGTCAGGGGGTTGTAGGTGAACTATAAATCCCAGCAACTACAACTCCCAAATGTCAAGATTCTATTTTCCCCAAACTCCACCAGTGTTCACATTTGGGCATATTGAGTATTCATGTCAAGTTTGGTCCAGATCCATCATTGTTTGAGTCCACAGTGCTCTCTGGATGTAGGTGAACTACAACTCCCAAACCAAAGGACACTGCCCAGCAAACCTTCCAGTATTTTCTGTTGGTCATGGGAGAACTGGGTGGGAAGTTCACCCCAATTCTGTTGTTTGTGGGATTCAGAATGCTCTTTGATTGTAGGTGAACTATAAATCCCTGCAACTACAACTCTCCAATGTCAAGGTCTAATTTCTCCAAACTCTGCCAATGTTCACATTTGGCCATATTGAATATCTGTGGCAAGTTCTGTCCAGATCCATCATTGTTTGAGTCCACAGTGCCCTCAGGATATAGGTGAACTACAACTCCCAAATTCAAGGTCAATGCCCACCAAACCCTTCCAGTATTTTCCATTGGTCATGAGAGTTCTGTGTACCAAGTTTGGTTCAATTCCATCGTTGGTGGGTTTCCGAATGCTCTTTGATTGTAGGTGAACTATAAATCCCAGCAACTACAACTCCCAAATGACAAAATTATTTTTTTTAGTGAAGGACATACATTGGGTTGTTAGGTTTATGCTGTCCAAATTCGGTGTCAATTCCCCCAGTGGTTTTTGAGTTATGATGACACTACAAACGAACATTACGTTTTTATATATATAGATTGTTATTATTATTATCAATGGCCTTGTGTTACCTGTCTCCATAGATGACACTGAGGTCGTCCAGGACGCCGCTGAGCTTGGCCTGCAAGTCCTTGAGGGCCGAGCTGGCCTCCGGGTCCAGCTGCAAGAGAGCCAAAGGGGTCAGCGGCCGGGCCCCCCCTCGCCCCCCAGCGCCCTCCCCATCCGCAACGGCTTCTTTCTATCTAAAAGGAGGAGGGAGGCCCCTTTCTTCGGCGGAAAGGAGCAAAGGCATTCATTCGCACCCGCCTGCCTTTCAGAGGAGGAAGAGGAGGAGGCGACATTAATGGGAAACCAACGTGGAAGCGTGGCATCAGGTCCATGGTTGGTGGAGAATGGGGGTCATGACCTGCACCCCGTTTGCCTTGGATGGGGTGGGGGTCAAGGGGAGAGTTTCCACGCTGGTTTGCATTAAGTGTTGGCAGAAGCCGTGCATCCAGCTTGGGGGGGGGGGAGGAGGGAAGAAGAAGAGGAAGTGTGTGGCAGTTGAGTTGGGGGGCATGCTACTGCCCCAGTGGGGCCAAAGGGCACTTCCTGCTTCCCCCCGTCCATCCATCCATCCATCCAGCAGACTCTGGGGGTCCTTCGGCATGCTCGGTCCCCTCCTTTTGGGAGTCCTTTTGGGAGCCCAAGGGTCTTTGCGGAGGGAGAACCTTGGAGAAGCGCACACAGATCTCTCTTGGGGTTGGTAGGAAGCGTGTCCATGCTCAGGCATTCACATTTAGCCCCCAAGGAAGGAGGAGGTGCCGCCCCACGCCCTGGGGGCCCTCTGCAGCACTGGACTCTGCATCAGGATGACTATCGCTGAGACGGAGACTCAGTGCAAGAGCAGCACCGCAGCCTCCTTGACCCAAGGATTAGCCGCTTTGAGTCTCCATATGGAGAGAAAAGCGGGGTATGAGTAAGCATAACAACGACCACCACCACCACCATGCCCTGCACAGGTCTTCATGGATGCCAAGGACAGGCAGGCATTTGAGGTAAGAGTTGTAGGGGAAACTGTCCCCATCCTCTTCTTTGCCTGCCTGTCTTTCTGCTCTGCTATTTTCTGTTCTTTTGACTGACCACCCTCAGGGACAGTTGACTTCCTCCCATGAGTATCTCCAGATACAGACCCATAACAGAAATGTAGCTCTTTCTAAGAAAGCCTCTTTGTGTTGTTTGCGTGCTCCTTTGAATCGCTAAAGCCCATCTGCTCTACTGCTGTGCTCAGAAGCTTCTGCGCTGCTAAACTGCTGTATTTTTGTGACTGCTTTGTTTTTACACAGATGGATAGTTAGACTCTTAACTTTTGTAAACAGAAATGCAGCTCTTTCCAAGAAAGCCTCTTTGTGTTGTTTGTGTGCTCCTTTGAATCGCTAAAGCCCGTCTGCTCTACTGCTGTGCTCAGAAGCTTCTGCGCTGCTAAACTGCTGTATTTTGTGACTGTTTTGTTTTTACACAGATGGATAGTTAGACCCTCAACTTTTGTAAACAGAAATGCAGCTCTTTCCAAGAAAGCCTCTTTGTGTTGTTTGTGTGCTCCTTTGAATCGCTAAAGCCCATTTGCTCTACTGCTGTGCTCAGAAGCTTCTGCGTTGCTAAACTGCTGTATTTTGCTACTGCTTTGTTTTTACTGCTTTTTCCATCCCCAGCACCCCACAGGCCCAGCTGAAGTTTGAAATGCATTGCACGTATCCCATTCAAAGGTGACCCCTCCTCCGCAGCCCCCCTCCTCTGATGGTGGATCCCCGAACTTTGCGCCATGGGCCTTTCAGCTGATTCCCATCTGCAGCCCCTCTCCCCTGATGGCGGACCCCTGACCTCCATCTCCTTGCCAAGGAAAGATGTCTACAGCCATTGTGTCTCCCACCATCTTCGAGCTCAGTGAAGTTTTATGCAAAAGCAACAAGATGTTGAACTACTCGTCTGATTCCCATCTGGCTAAAAATGGCAAGCTAGAATGGAAATGCTTCCGTGGCTTCACAAAGAAAGCCCTCGCTGGACCCTTTTTGCACACAGTGTCTCCAGACACATATAGATAGTTAGACCCTTAACTTTTGTAAACAGAAATGCAGCTCTTTCCAAGAAAGCCTCTTTGAGTTGTTTGTATGCTCCTTTGAATCCCTAAAGCCCGTTTGCTTTACTGCTGTGCTCAGAAGCTTCTGCGCTGCTAAACTGCTGTATTTTGTTACTGCTTTGTTTTTACTGCTTTTTCCAACCCCAGGAACCCAGAAGCACAGCTGAAGTTTGAAATGCATTGCACAAATCCCTTTCAAAGGTGACCGCTCCTCTGCAGCCCCCCTCCCCTGATGGTGGATCCCTGACCTTTGTGCCCTGGGCCTTTCGACTGATTCCCATCTGGCTAAAAATAGCAGGCTAGAATGGAAATGCTCCCGTGGCTTCACAAAGCAAGCCCTCGCTGGCCCCTTTTTGCACGCAGTGTCTCCAGACACAGATGGATAGTTAGACCCTTAACTTTTGTAAACAGAAATGCAGCTCTTTCCAATAAAGCCTCTTTGTGTTGTTTGTGTGCTCCTTTGAATAGCTAAAACCCGCTGGCTCTACTGCTGTGCACAGAAGCTTCTGCGCTGCTAAACTGCTGTATTTTGTTACTGCTTTGTTTTTACTGCTTTTTCCAACTCCAGCAACCCAGAAGCACAGCTGAAGTTTGAAATGCATTGCACAAATCCCTATCAAAGGTGACCGCTCCTCTGCAGCCCCCTCCCCTGATGGTGGATCCCTGACCTTTGCACCATGGGCCTTTCGTCTGATTCCCATCTGCAGCCCCTCTCCCCTGATGGCGGACCCCCGACCTTTGTGCCCTGGGCCTTTCGTCTGATTCCCATCTGGCTAAAAATTGCAGGCTAGAATGGAAATGCTTCCATGGCTTCACAAAGCAAGCCCTTGCTGGCCCCTTTTTGCACACAGTGTCTCCAGACACAGATGGATATTTAGACCCTTAACTTTTGTAAACAGAAATGCAGCTCTTTCCAAGAAAGTCTCTTTGTGTTGTGTGCTCGTTTGAATCGCTAAAGCCCGTTTGCTCTACTGCTGTGCACAGAAGCTTCTGTGCTGCTAAACTGCTGCGTTTTGTTACTGCTTTGTTTTTACTGCTTTTTCCAACTCCAGCAACCCATAGGCCCAGCTGAAGTTTGAAATGCATTGCACAATTCCCTTTCAATGGTGACCGCTCCTCTGCAGCCCCCTTCCCCTGATGGTGGATCCCTGACCTATACGCCCTGGGCCTTTCATCTGATTCCCATCTGCAGCCCCCTTCCCCTGATGGTGGATCCCTGACCTTTGTGCCCTGGGCCTTTCGTCTGATTCCCATCTGACTAAAAATGGCAGGCTAGAATGGAAATGCTTCTGTAACTTCACAAAGAAAGCCCCCGCTGGCCCCTTTTTGCACGCAGTGTCTCCAGACACAGATGGATAGTTAGACCCTTAACTTTTATAAATAGAAATGCAGGTCTTTCCAAGAAAGCCTCTTTGTGTTGTTTGTGTGCTCCTTAAATCGCTAAAGCCCATTTGCTCTACTGCTGTGCTCAGAAGCTTCTGCGCTGCTAAACTGCTGTATTTTGTTACTGCTTTGTTTTTACTGCTTTTTCCAACTCCAGCAACCCAGAAGCACAGCTGAAGTTTGAAATGAATTGCACAAATCCCTATCAAAGGTGACTGCTCCTCTGCAGCCCCCCTCCCCTGATGGTGGATCGCTGGCCTATGCGCCCTGGGCCTTTCAGCTGATTCCTAACTGCGGCCCCTCTCCCATGATGGCGGACCCCCGACCTTTGTGCCCTGGGCCTTTCATCTGATTCCCATCTGGCTAAAAATGGCAGGCTAGAATGGAAATGCTCCCGTGGCTTCACAAAGTAATCCCTCGCTGGCCCCTTTTTGCACGCAGTGTCTCCAGACACAGATGGATAGTTAGACCCTTAATTTTTGTAAACAGAAATGCAGCTCTTTCCAAGAAAGCCTCTTTGTGTTGTTTGTGTGCTCCTTAAATCGCTAAAGCCCGCTTGCTCTACTGCTGTGCACAGAAGCTTCTGTGCTGCTAAACTGCTATATTTTGTGACTGTTTTGTTTTTACTGCTTTTTCCAACTCCAGCAACCCAGAGGCCCAACTGAAGTTTGAAATGCATTGCATGCATCCCATTTAAAGGTGACCTCTCCTCCGCGGCCCCCCTCCCCTTATGGTGGATCACCGACCTTTGCACCCTGGGACTTTTGCCTGGTTCCCATCTGGCTAAAAATGGCAGACTAGAATGGAAATACTTCCGTGGTTTCACAAAGCAAGAATTCGCTGGCCCCTTTTTGAACAAGTGTCTCAAGACACAGATGGATAGTTAGACCCTTAACTTTTGTAAACAGAAATGCAGCTCTTTCCAAGAAAGCCTCTTTGTGTTGTTTGTGTGCTCCTTAAATCGCTAAAGCCTGTTTGCTCTGCTGCTGTGCTCAGAAGCTTCTGCGCTGCTAAACTGCTGTATTTTGTGACTGTCTTGTTTTTACTGTTTTTTCCAACCCATGTGGCTAAAAATGGCAAGCTAGAATGGAAATGCTTCCATGGCTTCACAAAGCAAGCCCTTGCTGGCCCCTTTTTGCACGCAGTGTCTCCAGACACAGATGGATAGTTAGACCTTTAACTTTTGTAAACAGAAATGCAGCTCTTTCCAAGAAAGCCTTTGTGTTGTTGGTGTGCTCCTTAAATCGCTAAAGCCCATTTGCGCTGCTGCGGTGCTCGGAAGCTTCTGCGCTGCTAAACTGCTGTATTTTGTGACTGTTTTCTTTTTACTGTTTTTTCCAACCCCGGCAACGCACTGCTTTGTGTTGTTTGTGTGCTACTTAAATCGCTAAAGCCAGTTTGCTCTGCTGCTGTGCTCAGAAGCTTCTGCGCTGCTAAACTGCTGTATTTTGTGACTGTTTTCTTTTTACTGTTTTTTCCAACCCCAGCAACGCACTGCTTTGTGTTTGTGTGCTCCTTAAATCGCTAAAGCCAGTTTGCTCTGCTGCTGTGCTCAGAAGCTTCTGCGTTGCTAAACTGCTGTATTTTGTGACTGCCTTGTTTTTACTGTTTTTTCCAACCCATCTGGCTAAAAATGGCAGGCTAGAATGGAAATGCTTCCGTGGCTTCAACAAGCAAGCCCCGCTGGCCCCGTTTTGCACGCAGTTTAGAATAGAAGCCACGGTCTTTTGTCTGCTCAGAAAGATCGGGAGCGTGAGGAGGCGGAGGCCGTGCGGATCTTTCGTGGCGACGGAGCATGTGCAGAGGGTGCTCTGACAGAAGGAGGGAGAGAGGGAGGGAAGGAAGGAAGGACTGACAAAGGGACAAAGGCAGGACCCTCTTGCCGACTGCGCAATGGCCGGCTCTGGGCCGCAGGGCAGGAGCCAGGAGGAAGAATGAACAGAAGATGCTTACTAGGCAGCACAAACCTCATAAGAAAACCGCTCTCCTTCTTGCTTCTGCTCAGGGAAGGGCAAGTCAAAGGCGTCAGACAGAGACAGGACGACACAATTACAGACAAGACCCCGCCCCTCCTCCCTATGGCCACTTCACCCCACCCCTAAACCACACTCCCCATAGAGACCGAACAGGATTGTCAGCAACAACAACGGGACAAACAGAGACTGACAGTACACTGACCAGAGGCACCGCTTGGTCCAGAGGAGACCCTCCTTTTGATTTAAATGAGCGGCCCATGTCACGTGCTTCTATCTGACTTATACTATATTTGGACTTCTAGATTGTTTGAATTGCCTGAGCTGCATGCCACTCTGAGTTCTGACAACAGAAGGCGGGACAGATATATCTGAATTCGGTCATGGCCAATAGAGCCAGGGCTGGGTTTTTGCTTTCCTTCCTGGAGCAAAGAGGGCCAGACTCACCTCCTTGCCCCCCATGGCTTCAAACATCTTCTCCAGCTGGACCCGCAGTTGCTGGATGTTGTTCATCAGGATGCAGGGCTAGGCGGAAAGGAAGTGTCACGTTATTTAATAACAATTTAAAACAATTTAAAAACAGCAATATCAAAGATCAAAGGCCTGTCGAAACAGGTATGTCTGACATGCCCTGCGGAAAGCTGATAAGTCCCGCAAGGCACGGACTTCAGGTGGCAGAGTATTCCAGAGTGATGGTGCCACTGCTGTGAAGGCTCTGCGTCTGGTTGCTGTTAGACGCAAGGTCTTGACACTGGGAATTTCCAATAGATCTTGGTCCTCAGAACGGAGGGATCTCTGGGGTTGGGAGGGGGTGAGGCGGTCCCTCAGGTACATCAGCCCCAGACCATGCAAGGCCTTAAAGGTGAGTCCCATCCCTTTGAAAGTGATCCGGTGCTCAATTGGTAACCAATGCAGCTGTAGTAAGATTGGTGTTATGTGGCATCTCATCGGAATTCCCGCAAGAAGCCGAGCAGCTGCATTTTGTACCAACTTGAGCTTCCGGATCACCGACAGAGGAAGGCCAATGTAGAGGGCGTTACAGTAGTCCAGTCTTGAGATGACCATGGCCTGGATCACCGTAGCTAGGTCGTCCCTGGACAGGGAGGGGGCCAGCCGTCTAGCCTGCCGCAGGTGAAAGAAGGCGGTTCTGCTCACGGCGGAGACCTGGGCCTCCATCGTCAGCAGAGGGTCCAAAAGGACTCCCAGACTCTTGACCAATGATGACGGGCGTAGCGCCTCGCCATCCAGGGTAGGCAGCTGGATGTCCCCACTGCCCAGTCGACCCAGCCATAGGATCTCCGTCTTTGCTGGATTCACCCTCAACCTGCTGGCACGCAGCCATCCAGTCACGGCCTCGAGGCACTGATGGAAGGAATCGGGTCCAGAGTCCGGTCGGCCTTCCATCTTCAGCACCAGCTGAGTGTCATAGGCGTACTGGTCACACTCCAGCCCAAAACCTCGAACCAGCTGAGCAAGTGGTCGCATAGAGATGTTAAACAAGAGAGGGGAGAGAATGGCCCCCTGAGGAGGAACCCCACAAGAGAGAGGGGGGGGGACCTCTTAGAGACCAGGCCTCCCCTCTTCACTCGCTGTCCACGGTCGTGAAGGAAGGAGGACAGCCAGTTTAATGCTCTCCCCTTGACTCCAGCAACAGCAAGGCGTTGGGTGAGAAGATGGTGGTCGACTGTGTCCAATGCTGCTGTGAGATCCAATAACACAAGCAGCGCCGACCCGCCCTGGTCAAGCTGGCATGGAAGGCGATCCGTGATGGAGACCAGCACAGTCTCTGTCCCATGCCCCGCACGGAAGCCGGACTGGAAGGGATCTCGTCCAGCTGTGTCGTCTAGGAATTGCTGCAACTGCTGCCCTCTCCATCACCTTGCCCAGGAACGAGAGATTTGAACCTGGGCGGTAATACTAATATTACTTTTAATATAATATTAATATTAATAATATTACTTTTGATATAAAATATATAATAATAATATCATATATTATTTATGGCTGGCAGAATGGGTTTTCAAACTAACTTATACAATCACCTATCTAAAATACGAACAGAAAGGGCCTTTATGGGCCCCATTGAGGCTCTGGGAAGAGAGTGGCTCCCTTCCGAGGCAGAGCGATCGAGGGCAGACGTTACACCGGAAAGGGGACTCACCAGGTTTTCCTTGTCGCAGTAAGAGCTGAAGTCGTTCGTGACGATGACAGCGTACTGAGTGAGCACTTTGTGGATGGTCTGGAACAGGAAGGAAGGAGGAAGAAGAAGAAGGCCCTTTACAATCCCCAAAGTGGCCACCCCAGCGAGAGTGTGGCCAAGAATCCAAATCCTAATGTCCCCAGGTGAAGAGGGTCCTCCAACCAGAGGCGGCCCTAGGTTATTTTCAACGGTAAGCAAACAGTATTTTGCCCCCCCCCCCCACCAATCATTGATATATATTTTCTGTTTGTCTGTGGGAGTTCTGTGTGCCATATTTGGTTCAATTCCATCATTGGTGGAGTTCAGAATGCTCTTTGATTGTAGGTGAACTATACATCCCAGTAACTACACTTGCCACACTTGCTCCCTTGCCTGGCCCGCTTTGGGTCCGGAGGCGTGCCTGAAGACCCCGGCGTGTGCACCAAAAGTCACCTCTTCTCCTGACTTTCTCCTCAGCCATTGGGACCAAGAGAGAGAGAGAGAGAGTGGTGGAGATGCCCACCTTTCCTGAAGGTAGGCGCAAAAACAAAGGAGGGAGCGGAGGTGGGAGATACCTCCAGCCGGGGGCTCTCTCTCTCTCTCTCTCTCTCTTGGTCCCAATGGCTGAAGAGAAAGTCAGGAGAAGAGGCACTGGGGTCTTCAGACACGCCTCCAAACCCGAAGTGGGCCAGGCGCGGCGGCTCCACCCCTTGGCCCACCTGTGGATTGGGGAGAGGAGAGGAGGCGGGTGGAGCACCGAGGGATCGGGAAAGGGACCCGATCATGGGGAAGGGTTCGAACGCAGAGAACGATTGAGCGCCAGCTCTTCTCGCGCACCCGGTGGCCAGGTGGAGCAGGAACGAGAGGGGCTAGGCGAGGCTCAAGGGCCCGGTCCCTTTGGGAGGAGGATCGCCCGGCAGCGAGGCAAGAAAGCCGAGGCTCCCCCCGGACTGCTCGGGCTGTTGTGAGCTGAGGGGGCGCTCCTCTAGTGGCGGTCGAGGGGCATTTACAGAGGCGCCTCTGCGCCCCTGGCAAAAAAAAAGTGTTCTGCGACCGCTTACTTCGCGTAATGGATGAGCCGCCCCTGCCTCCCACCGTCCTCCCTCCTGCCCACCAAAGCCAAATTCTCCTCCCAGTTTAGGGGGCTCAAGTGCCAGGAGGAGGAGGCCACTCTACCTTGGCAAACCTCCTCATGAGGTGGGAAAGGGCCTCTGGATTGGGACACTCCAGCTTCCGGATGATCTCGAAGCTCTGGTTGAGCTGCGTGAAGACGTCCACCACAGAGCAGGAGAAGAGCGCATGGTCAGAGGTCTGCTGGAACTGAGGCCAAGAGAGGGGGCAAGGGTTTGTGAATGAAAATATTACCATTATCCTATACACACACACACACACACACACACATGACTTAGGACCCCTGGTGGAGCAGGGGTCTGTGTTTGGTGGGGCTGACAAAGAGAGGAAGGAGACTGGGAGGGAGGGAAGGAAGGAAGGAGGGCCCATGCATGGAAAGGGACTCCATGGTGAGGCTTCTCTTCCCTCACAACAGTTGGTGCTTAATTCTTCTCACGCAATGGGGAGAGGGGCTTTTGCGCATGCTCTGTAATGCATTTTTTCTTTTTGGGGAGTTTTAAGTTTTAAGGCCGAGTCCACAATACAACAATAAAAACCACATTTTCAGGCTCCTCCTAAAGACTGCCAGCGTTGGGGCATGCCTGATGTCCTTGGGGAGTGAGTTCCAGAGTCGAGGGGCCATCACTGAGAAGGCCCTGTCCCTCGTCCCCACCAAACGCGCTTGCGATGGAGGCGGGAGCGCGAGCAGGGCCTCTCCAGATGATCGAAGAGATCGTGTGGGTTCGTATACGGAGATGTGGTCGCGCAGGTAGGCGGGTCCCAAACAGTTCAGGGCTTTGTAGGTAAGCACCTGCACCTTGAATTGGGACCGGTAAATGAACGGCAGCCAGTGGAACTCCTTAAACAGGAGGGTTGACCACTCCCTGTAAGGAGCACCAGTTAACAACCTGGCCGCCGCTCGTTGAACCAATTGAAATTTCCGGACCGTTTTCAAGGGCAGCCCCACATAGAGTGCATTACAGTAGTCCAATCTGGATTAGATTTGGATTGTCCCTATCAGGTATGGGCACACGTCACCTCTCCAGGTGTTCTGGACTTGAACTCCCACAATTCCTAATAGCACCTCTCACCCCGTCTTTCTTGTCCCGCCCCAAAGCGCCGTGGAGGAACTCCATGGAGACGTCCTCATTCTCGTCCAACCACTGCATGACAAAGGGCTCGAACCACCTGAAAGGAGGAGGGAAAAGAAGTGTCATGTCCAGCAGTTGGAAGTGGTTAGTATACAGAAGATTTGGCAGGATCATGACCCGTAGCATCTGTAGTGATGCTTCAGAAGGTATAGAAGGGGTCGGTCTTCCTCCTGGTTCTAAAGGGCAGAGTAATCTGTAGGTAAGAACTTACAGGGAGTAGCAAGAGAGAGGATGCTGCTGGGATCTGCTGCATCAAAAGAACCGAGTAGAGACTGCTCTTTGGGAGAAAATTATCTGCTATACTTGCCTGTGGATACTGGTGGTGTTTCCCGGGTTGGTGCATTATGGTATCCAGACCTGTGTCATGAACTCTTATAAGCTTTGTACCTTGTGTAGACTTGTTGGTGAACCTCAGTTGCACTGGACCTGGATGAACTGTGAACCCCTGGATTGACACTTGACTACTGTGTTTGGACTTGGAACTTTGTCTTCTCTGGCTTGACCCAGGAACATATGATTACGTTTTAGACTCTTGCACTGTGAGCTATCTTGAAGTCCGGCAAACTCCTTGCTTGCCTTGGGGACAATTTCATGGTCCAGATGGTAGAAGAGGCAACAAGGGGGTCGGCCTTATATGTCAAAAACTGTTATGCTGCAGAAGGGATGCAAGAGAGCAATCTGGGAAACCAGCTTGAAAGCATCTGGATAAGAATCAAGGGAACTGGGACTCAAAAAGATGTCATTGTAGGCATCTACTGCAGACCTCCAAGCCAGGAGGAAGAACTTGATGAAGTCTTCTGCCAACAGTTGACAAACCAGGAACAGAGAAGAGATGTAGTAGTCATGGGCAATTTCAACTATCCCGATATTTGCCGGAAAACAAACTCGGCCAAGAGTACAAGGTCCAACAAATTCCTCGCTT